TCGGAGTGGAAAATCTTCCGTGGAGTGCAACATGGGAACCTGGTTGCGGGCCCTCTGGCGGAGACACCACAGGTTCCTCCCCCCCTGCATGTTCGGACAACCTGCGTCACCACTGGAGCACAGGGACATATCCCATGTCCCTACCGGTGGGTTGAACTGCCCCACTAATCGATTAAAACCCAGGCCAAATTCCGGGGCCAAAATCAGGGGGTGCGTCAGGGCGGGAACTAAACCGCAGCCTTAACAGTATGCTTTTACCCTTATATCTAATTTCCACGCGGCACAACCAGGTTATCTGGTGAATATCCCCATGTACACAATTCTAACATCCACCCACGATGGCCTCTACCAAAGCCCCGGGGGTTCGAACCAGGGTTTCTGATGGATTATAACGATTGCGTGCCAGCCCGAACTCCACCATTGCCTGACGTATACCCCCTTGAATTCCTTACCGGGGACGCTTATGTCCCTCCTGGACCGGCGGGGAGGGTGTTGGTGGGGGGCCAGAACCCGGATCACCTGTCCGACCCCATGAGAGGCACTTCCCTGCGGAAAATGTCCGGGACTGCCCGCACCGCCAACACTCCTGCCCTGACGGTCCGAGGAACCCTCTGGTGGGCTCGGAGAGCTGCACCCGTAGTGGCTGGAACCCTGGGAAAGGAGAGAAAGCAGAGGGGCTCGGTTAATGCCGCGGGCAGAGAGCCGGGGCAAAAGTTTCAGACGGGGTAAGTGGGGGTGGGGTTCTTCTGCCGAGGCGCCGGCACGGGTCGGGTTGGGTGAGAGGGCCGCCTCTCGAGCCCGGTCCCCATCGTGGACGGCCAGGTGATCCTCGGCAGAGGGTAGACAGCGGCCTTCCAAATCCGCGGGTCGGTGGCACCGCACCCACTTCCGCAGGATCCCGGTTCGGGAGCCCCTCCACAAACTGTTCCAACACCAACCTGCTCCAGCATCTGCCTCTCACCGGCAGGTCCCCCCGGCTGCTGAGCCACCTGGTGCAGCGTCCTTCAGCTGCTGCGTATAGACAAAAGGACGGTCGGAGGGTCCCAGGGCGGCGGACCGGAACCGGCGGCGGTGATCCTCAAGGGAAAAACCCATCCTGTCCAGGATGGCTCTTTTGATGTTTCGAAAACTCCCCCCGGAGAAGAAGCTGGCAGGCCGAGCGCTGGCAGTCTGGGACTCTCCTGACAGCAGTGGAAGCAGGCCACGGCCCCACTTCCGCGCCGGCCAGGCCACACGGCCTCCGCCGTTGCCTCAGAACATTTCGAGGAAGGGGTTTGGGGGGTCATCCGCAGCTGTCATCCGGTGCATGGTGATGCCGTTTTGAGAAGGCAGGAGGGTGGAGGAAGAATGGTGACTCGGCCCCCGACCGGGCCAGCAGTCCTTCCAGCACTGGTTCTGCTTTCCCCGCCCTGGTTCTGGTGAGTGCCTCCAGATGCCGGCCTATTTAGTGGCAGTTCTGCTTGGTGGTGTACTGCCGTGATCTGCCCCAGCATCTCCCCCAGCAGTGAGACCAGCTGGTGAAGGGCTGCTGCTCCATAGGCTGCTGCTCACAATGCTCATAGTTGCAGTCTAGGCTCTGGCGTTTTGGTCACGGGATACTCCTCGTGACGTCTCTCTCCGGGGTCCAGCACACTACTGCCAATTATAAGGGAAGAGTCCTTAATTAATTATCAGCAGGGTGAGGTGATCAAACTCACCTGGTGCCGCTCTCCCAAGCCTTCCCCACACCTCTCTCCTGGCAGCTGAGCGCACGCCCACCCCCACAGTTACATTACTGACGTCTCTTCTTACCATGATGCAGGATTAACTTAATATAAAGTCAATGCAAAGAGACAAGTGGATGCCAATACATGAAAATTCACTCGAATTGAGGCAGATTCATCTATGTAAGCTGAAACCTTTATAATTTTCGAAAAAACTTAAACAGAGGCTTTTTCGAATCCCAGTATAAACGTACAGAAGGAAACGAGGGAAGAGAGTTGGTGCAATTCAATTTTATATGATTAGTAGAAAATCGACTTTAAAATGAATTAAAATATGAACATCTGTAATACTAGAAAGGCACTTGGAGAGTGCAGACTGTATGGTTCTTTGTTATATGGAAATCTGCACACCTTTTACCTTTTTTACAACGGGTTCGTAAAAATCCGGAATTCCGGATTTAAAAAAATAACATCCCTGATTGTTTATTTCTTACATACCTGCACAGTTTGTTTCTACAGTGATGTTTGAGGTGTCTGTTACATTTTGTTGTATGTTTAGTCACAGCACACCATTCACTTTAGTTACGACAGATTTGTCCATGCGCCATACATTCGGTTCCTTTTCACATAGACAGCGGTGTTACAGGTGACCTACCTCACAATTTTAATGAAGGTGAAAAATTGGTGTAATTCGTGATTCCAAAATTTAATGGGCTCTTCCCTGTCTTATGCTATACCCGTCCATAAAGTGAGTTCATAATCAAACAGCACCAAAAACATAACCTCGTTCATGGAGGAAATAATGGATGGTGTCAGTACATCTGACAAAAAGGTTGGAAACCTTAAGTCATTTCAAATCAATTTAGCTGAATCAAGACCACCTGAACTTAAATCAGTGAAACTGAGATGTGCCTTCTGCTTAAATTCATTTCACTCTGATCCTTCTGTCCCACAGTATGGCTACCCACCTGACCGACGATCCATCGCAGCCGGTGTCCCTCCTCAGACCATCACCCCACAGTCCCTGCAAGGCAAGACGGTAAGTGTTACAGTGCGCTCCCTCGCCTCCCATACACTCCATACTATGAAATTCAACTTCCTGCCCACGGCTTTCAGTAAACTCTTACAAAGAACAGAATTTTGAGAGCATTTACGTAAATAAAAAAGCCTCATCGCTGACATTCACCCACATTGACACACGTCTGTCTCAGTGATGTTTCGTTCTCAGCAACCTCTTATTGCTGTTTTTTCCACTTGTCTCAGCGGGACCAGTGTAATTATTGACAATGCCATTGTCCCTTAATGACAGTGCAAACACACAATGTGGCAGCACAAGTGAAATTGTCTTTGCTCTCAAATTGAAGCAGCGACAATCAACAGCGAGGGCTGATATTTCTGTTTGAAGCAAGCTGTGAATAATATTGTGATTGCTTGACTGCAGTCGAGTGCCTCGGCAGCTTGATGAGAGAAATTTTCCACACAGCGTTTGCGGTGCGCTGTTTTGTCACGGTGGACACGTTCCTTTATTTCACTGTGTCGCAACTGATAATATGCTGAGTGTGTGTGAATGTGTGTGTGTGTGTGTGATTGTGTGTGAGTGTGTGTGACTGTGGGTGAGTGTGTGTGTGTGAGTGTGGGTGAGACCTGCCTGTGCACGTGTTTGTGTGCACCACTCCATCCATATATCTGTAATTGAAATTACTCGGCTGCTCTTTATCCTCATCAAGTAGTTTTGTTTTAAACTGACGATAAAATTGAAGCTAGATGGTGGTAACACAACGATATGTTGACCCAGATTGCTGACATGTAATAAATCAAGCAGCTCACAGACAGTGGCCGGTAGCAAAGTCACAAGGTCAATGAAAGGCTGCCACATTTTCAGGAACACTTCCTCCCTGGTTGACATGTTATATTGAATTTTCTCCAGGTGCAGTATATTTCCTAGATCACTTAGCCTCATGTCAAATGTAGGAACCTTTTTAGATTTGAATGATTGTAGCTGAAGCCTTCCGGGTAATAGTGCAGACAGAGAAGTGGTCTGGGGTCTGAGCCCTAAACCTGGTTCAACTAGTTATCAGAGCTACAGTTAAACACTTGTCTGTCTTGCAAAAGAGAGATCTCAGTGAGAATTCCTGAATAAATAACACTTACCTAACTAAGTAAAAAGAAGAATGTGAGACTGGGAGAAGTTGAACAGAAGCAACATAGTCATCAGCACATAATATACTTCTGCCTCCAGACTGAGAATGTTGTTGTCCAACTGTTGGTTTAAATGCTTCATCTCATAATACAGGGTTAAAATAGTTTTTACTGGACAGTTAATCAACTGTGGAATAGTTCCTTTCCTCTTGAAAGTCATCAGTCACCTTCATCGTGTTTCATTTAACCAATGGACGGGTGGTGTTGTTGATGTCGTTAGTGTGGCTCTTCTTCTCTCCTCTGTGTGTTGCTCTGTGCAGCCGGAGGAGCTGACCCTGCTGCTGATCAAGCTCCGCCGGCAGCAGGCAGAGCTCAACAGCCTGCGGGAACACACAGTAGCTCAGCTAATGGCCCTGGGTATGGAGGGGCCCAACCCTAAGGTCAGCACTGAGTGTATACAGTATGTGTGTGTGCATGCACGCATTTGTGCTCTCCCAACCAAGCTGCCAAAATCTGTATTCCGTCTGTTAATGTATGTCTGCGAGGGGAGGTTCCTTGCGTAAGGTAGTGTACTCCAACTGAAATTGCTTTTGGTGTGTTCTGAAAGTTTCTGCAAGCTGAAGACATTCACTACAACTCAAACTCTTTTTTTGAATTAAAGTCGAATGGTCCACTACTTTGGTCCAGACTGAAATTTGACCTGAAATAGTACAGACATTCATGGTCCCCAGGAGATGAATCCGAATGACTTGAGTAATTTTTCAAGCAAGCACTATCAGCAGGTTGAAGTTACCAGGTAACCATGTTGTGGTTCAGACATTCATGGTTCCCAGATATTGGAGCCTACTGACTTTGATGGTCTACTGAGTCCTATCTACTGCCCCAGCAGGTTGACGTTTTCAGGTAAATTGCAATGAAATTTGGTGCATTTTACAAAAATAAACCTAAATAACTAACAGCATTGATGACAGCAAACCCAAACTCCAACTTTAACACTTCACACAATCACAAGTTTACTATTGTCATCAGGTTAGAAATACTATAGACATCACAATATCATTCTGGTGTCCAACTTGTTATTTTTCTGTGCGCACACCCCAAATTCAATTTCATTTTGGAGTATTGTTCTGGCATCAGTGCAGGCTGGTGGAGATGTAACTTTGTTGGGGATTGACGTGTGAATTTGTGGGTTTCCTTTTGCACCCATGTATGTGTGTGTTTGAGTGTGTGTTTTTCCATGGGGGCTCTACTCCTGCCCATGCATGCCGGCTTGAGGTCTCTGTGTGGTTGAGAGCTTGGATGCATCGCAGCTGATGCATCAAACAACATGACATCTTTTCAGCTTGATGTGCATCATGAGTGCTGGTTTAAAACCATCAGTGTTCTTTTATTTGCGTTCATCTTTGCAATAACCTGATCAGTTCTCAGATGGTTTAATTGGAAGAAAATTATTTTATAATGCATGTACAGTAGGGGACAAGGTACGTTTTATTAGTCTGTTTTCTGGGAATAATTGACAACAAAGCAGAAAACCAGAACACAAGCCGTTTTTCGGTTTTGTCAAAAAAACGGAAAATCAAAAGTTCAAGCTCGTTTCTCTCGTTTTTTGGTCATTCTTACTTAACAAAGAAATAATTACTAACTCAATATCTTGTTCCGTCGGGTGGGGCGAGTCCTCTGAATTGGCTAGTGTGTTCCATTGCCTGTGCTCTTCAAAATAAAAAGTCTTCCGATTTAAGATATGTCGAGACAAAAAATATTACTGTATATATAGACACTAGCAGACACACGACCCCAACATCACCCACAAAGAATCAAGACTGACACGGGCTTCAATATAAACAATAGTATTCATAATCATATTGAAAAAATGAGAAACTTGGTGAATTTAATGAATGACTCAGTTTCATGTGATTTTTTAGGCCACAAGGTGGCGCAGTTAATTACATGAAGAGTAAGACCTGAGGGCTTTACTTACGACGGAGGCTCAATATATCCAGAGCTCTGTACTTCATAATCCGGCCAACAAAACCTACACAAGCACCAACCAGTACAGAGATTAAACTAGGCCTATGAAACGACAGTACACAAAACATGACTGGTTATGACAGAAAACAGGAAATTCCCAACACAAATACCCTACTATTCCTAGTCATGTACCAAACAAAACCTTCCAGGGCAAAGTAATGACTCCCTACTTACTCAACTAATTTCAGGACCAAGCTTCTCTACACTGGTAGAGTAAGATACCCCTACCTCGGAAGAAGTGATCCAACCAAAACATGATATGAAACCCCCAAATTGCTGACAACACATAGTAGTATTTCGTGTAATCCAAAAATAATAAAAACATTTAAATAAACCATCCTGAACATGACTAACCAATCCATACTTTGTCGACATATTTACACGATAGATAAAAAATTAACTCCATCATCAAATAACAATTACCACTTTGTTGTTTTTTCCATAGGAGAATGACAAATACCAAAGACAAAGTGCAGAGAGAAAGATGTTTGCTTGTAATTTCCAGACCGGAACAAGTATATGAAGACACAATTTCACAATATGAGCTCCATCACTCAAGAAACCATTATCAACAACACATGTCTCCACAGAAGTACGAGCTATAGGACATAAAACCATAAACACCCTCCTGAGGAAATTGATGTAGAAAGCTTGCTCTGACATGACCCACAAATGTAAAAATAACTTCACAACTGCCATGAGCAAAGAGCAAAAAACCATCACCTTATAAATCAGTGCGTAGGCTCAGCTAGCACATATACCTACAAATCAAAATTGAATGAAATAGAGAATTACTGATAACACTCATTCTTGGTCAACAAAATGTACAAGGGATAGAAACAATTAATATGGATTATGCCCTTTAGATACAGCACCTAAAAAACTCACTGAGCCATATAATCACAACATTTCATCAAGAGCAGCACCCAAGCACAAATACAGGCTTTCAACAAAAAAAAAACTCTCAACGCATACTGCCTAATCACCGCAGTTAACAAAAAATAAATATGAAAAACCAAATATAAAATACTTTCCAACAAGAAAAAATAATTTTTATACTCGCTCCACACAATTGCAATCAAATGTCCATCCCCAACGCATGACAAATTTATCAGCTCGACAGAAACATGTCGTATGTGACCACCTTGTCACATTCCCCCTCACACTCACGCTCTCAGGCCTCCTTGACGGCAATCAGTCAGCACCAACCGCACATCGCATCCGCACGCTCCCTTCTTGATGCAGAACGCCGCACAGCGACGCAACAGCTCAGAGCCGGAACTATCGCACCCACACACCGTCCGTACCCCAAACCCAACAAACGTCAAAACAAAAAACATCACACACCAAATATCACCTCTAACATCACCACCTGACCGCGGAGACTTTAGGTCATATTTCGAGCGTGCAAGATCTACTGCAACACCCAGAGCCTGTGATATGTTTGAGCCATTCGCCGTTATAAAAAAGTCAAGCCCTCACAGAGTTTCTTGTAGTAACTGCGGGGCCACCTTGTGGCTCAAACATCACTGCACGAGAAGTCATCACAAATACACTTCATAATTCTCATTTTAAATAAGAATTCAATAGAAAAAAATCACCTAACAAATACGTACCTGTATCATTTGAAGAACTCGTGTCAGTCTGACTCGTGGGATGCCATTAAACGCACACAAAAACACCCAAAACAAATAAAATAAAAAATAAAATTCATATATTATAAATCATTGCTTCCGTATATTTTACCTATATATTTATAAATTACCCAATAATATAATAATTACTTCTCCATTTAAGATAAATATTATATTAAGATTTAATTCACATATATTTAATAAAAAAAATAACTATTATATTCATCCTAATTAATATTTCCCTCTGCAATTTAATATCCCCCCTATTCATTTTCCCACTTATTTATTTTCTGTGTTTTCATTTTACATATAGTTCAGTTATCGGATGAAACCTTTGTGACCCTACCATCAATCATGTAAACAAATGCCACGAGGAGCTGCTCATCCAACAACAAGGTCCAATGCCTAACTTTTCTCCCCATTAATATGGTTCGAATCAACAACCTCAAGGGAACTGCAGTGGAACATCGCCACATTAACCAATATAATTATGCTCACCATTGCACCGAGACAACTAGTCACGTAACATCTGAGGTGATATATATATGTTTGGTTAGATATCATATTCATAGGAAAAACCCAACACATATGGAAAGAGTGGACAGCGGAGCTGTATGTAATGCCTAAAATTATATTTTTTTGTAATTTATAACTTCCATACATCTATTATATAATCCCTCAATCACCCATCTTTGGATTGCAAATCCCATAATAAGGACATAGTACCCTCCTACCAATTTTATTTTATGAATTCTCCATGATCAACATAAACTAACATACTGGAACCCTCTCCATACTTAAGGAGCTCAGTATCTAATGAAAAGTACTCATGCTCCTCTAAGTAACGTATCCCTTGTTATGACACAAATATAACGATACCGTAGACGCAAGAACACAACACAAGGACAGACTCCAGCTGCAATCTTCCTCAACAGTGACTCATGACACCTACAATATCTGTAGTTGTGATGTATTGTCAATACACAGCTAAATATGCAATATGCTGAAAAACAACCACCTTTTTGACACTCTTGTCAGTGAACTGAACCACCAGGCCAATCCATGTTACCCCACACTATCAGCAGCAGAAGGATCAAGATACCCTGGAAAGATTCTGCCAAACCTTGGATTTATTAACTCCACAATAAATTTTTTAACCCATATCAGTTCCCACCACCCCCTTATCAAAAATTAATTTTCTCTTATCTAAACATCCTGTTTCATGGCAAATAAGGCTATGAACCAGTGTATAGTTAGAAAAAAAAAGATTGAGTCATAAATTATAAATAAGCTATGGTCTA